AAGTAAACTTACTCCTATATCTCTTTAATTTCACGGTCTGTTTTGTATGAGAGTGACATATAGCAACTAGTCATTTTCCACCACTCATCTTTTATCCCAAAAAGCCTTCAATTGATACCACATAATCTTAAGCTTATTTGAATCTATTTTTCTTCTGAATCATGGTGTCCAATTCCCTCAGCTTATGCCTTCATCATCCTCATCCTCACAATGACCTTACCCCTCAAATTTTCACAAAACCTAAGAACCTTTACTACCTTAGAACATCTTCAATTCCAACCACCTTAACTACTACTAGTACTAAAATTATTATTTCACCAAAAAACAAAGTTGTTCACTCTTTGTTCCATAGAAGATGTAACAACATTCTTTCTCCAATGGCATCAAGTGATGATCAATCCCACTTCACTTCTCAATTTGATGATTTTCAACCTGATCCTAGTCTTACTAATGATGATCTCAAACCAACGACGATCGATCAACGTAATTTTTCAGGGTGGGAAATGGCTAGTTTATGGATTGGACTTGTTGTTGGTGTGCCTTCATATTACCTAGCTGGTAGTTTAGTTGATCTTGGTATGGCTTGGTGGCAAGGAATTGCAATTGTTGTTATAGCCAATTTGATAACTTTAGTACCACTTATATTAATAGGTCAACCTGGCACAAAATATGGTATATCATTTCCTATTTTAGCAAGATCATCATTTGGAATTAAAGGTGCACATATTCCTACTCTACTTAGAGCTTTAGTTGGTTGTGGTTGGTATGGAATTGAAACATGGATTGGTGGTGAGGCAATTTTTCTTTTATTTCCAAAAGTTATTAAAGAATCATCTTTTTCTTTACCTCTTTCTTGGCTTGGCACTTCCCCTCTTGAATTTACTTGTTTTATAATTTTTTGGATAGCCCAATTAGCAATTGTGTGGAAAGGAATGGATGGTATTAGAGACTTAGAAAAATATTCTGCTCCAATTCTTATTGCACTCACTTCTTGTCTACTCATTTGGTCCTATGTTAAGGCTGGTGGATTTGGCCATTTGCTTAACTTATCTTCAAGAATCTCATCTCCACAATTTTGGTCACTCTTTTTTCCTTCAATCACAGCAAATATTAGCTTTTGGGCTACTTTAGCACTTAATATACCTGATTTTACTAGGTATGCCAAGAGCCAAAATGATCAAATTATAGGTCAAGTAGGGCTTCCAATTTTTATGGGATTGTTTACTTTTGTTGGTTTAGCAGTTACATCTTCAACGACAGTAATATTTGGGCATGTTATTTCCAACCCCATTACACTACTAGGTGAAATTGGTGGTTTCTTGACAATAATCCTTGCAATTATTGGAATTAGCCTAGCCACAATTACTACCAATATTGCAGCCAATGTCGTCGCGCCAGCTAATGCCTTAGTCAATCTTAGCCCTTCAAAATTCACTTTCAGAAGAGGTGCACTTCTAACAGCATTGTTAGGAATTGCATTCCAACCTTGGAGATTACTAAAATCAAGTGAAAGCTTTGTGTATACTTGGTTAGTTGGCTATTCTGCAATATTAGGACCAATTATGGGCATACTTTTAGCAGATTATTATGTCATTCAAGGGATGAATTTAAGGATCAAAGATTTGTACACATTGAGTCCAAGTGGAGCATATTATTACAAAAGTGGCTATAATTTGGTAGCCATGTTTGCTTTGGTGATTGGGATTTTGCCAGTAATTCCAGGGTTTTTGCAAAATGTTGGGATCATGAGTTCAATTCCAAAGCCATTTACCATTATTTACAACAATGCTTGGTTCTTTAGCTTGTTTTTAGCAGGGGGACTTTATTGTATTCTTTCATTTATAAAGGGAAAAAAGAAAAATCAACAGCACATAGATCCTTTGCTAACTAATGGATGTTAGTGATGTCTCTATTGTCAAATGTTTGATTCTAATTTTCCCTTTGCATTTATCTGTATAGACATAATGCTCCCTCCGTCTCAATTTATGTGATGGTGTTCAGATTTCAAGAATCAAATGAGTTGTGCTTTGATCGTAATTTTTTCTTATTCCTTTTAAATAATTTAAATAATTAAATATTATGAGTTATAGTACTTTTTACGTAGTTTTCAAATATGTAAATTTTATTTCAGAAAATTTAAAGATTTTATGTTCAAATGCACGATCAAAATTACAAAGTTTAAATCTCGAGAAGTGAAAAGTGACACATACCACAAACAACCTAACACCCTTAGGTGTGAATGATAAGATATTAGGTTGCTTACCATACAATCTTTCAAAAGAGACTGTCCACCTAACACTTTAGATTGTACGGAAAAGGGCCAAAAATACCCCTAACATATGAAAAATGGCTCATAAATACCCTCCTTTCACCTTTTGGTCTAAAAATACCCTCCACCTTTGTTTTTGGCTCATGAATACCCCTCAAACTAACGACCTAAATGATGAATTTATCAATAGCATGCAACTCAAATGGAAAGATTAGAGATGAGAAATTGAGAGAGAATTTTAGAGAAGAGAATAGATTTGTTTTTCGATACAATACAGAGAAGACCTGAAAACAGTGGAAAAGGAAAATGTACTGTATATAACTAATCTAACTAACTAACTAACTAGTGGTCCCAGCTGTACAACTAACCATAGTTATTAAGTTAACCAACTGCTAGTTAACTACTAACTGCACCTACATCCTTTACACCCCCCCTCAAGCTAGGACTGGGAAAGATGTTCAGAAGTCCTAGCTTGGACATTAAATATGTATGTTGTGGTCGACTAAGCCCTTTAGTGAGAAGATCAGCTGCTTGTTCTTGTGTAGCACGATAGTGAGTAGCGATAAAGCCCTGTTGAATCTTTTCACGAATGAAATGGTAATCAATATCGATATGCTTCGTGCGCTCATGGAAGACATGATTGGCACCAATTGCAAGAGTTGACTTGCTATCACAATAGACTGGTACAGGGGACTGATGCTCAATTCCCAGCTCTTTGAGTAAACCAAGAACCCACACAATTTCAGCAACAGTAGAAGCAAGGCTGCGATATTCGGCCTCAGTTGAACTCCTAGAAATGGTAGTTTGCTTCTTAGATTTTCAAGAAATTAGGAAATTACCAAGCTTGACAAGATAACTTGTGACTGATTTGCGTGTATTAGGCAGGCAGCCCAATCATCATCACAATATGCTCATAATGATTCTGAACAATGGGCAGTCAGGAAAACTCCTAATCTTGGATTGTTTTTGATATACCTCACCACATTAAGTGCTGCTTCCATATAGGAAGCTTTAGGACTGCATGAATTGACTGAGACTCTGGACAACAAAGGAAATATCAGGCCTTGTGATGGTCAAATAGAGCAGCTTACCTAGCAACCTTTGATAGGGCCCAGGATCAGTTAGTAGCACATCATCACATGTTCCCATATGGTTGTCAAATTCAGAGGTAGTAAGCTTAGGCTCTATAGGGCATCCCACAGGTTTGGAACCTGAGAGTCCCAACTCAGCAATAAGCTCCAGTGCACAATTACGTTGGTGCATTAATATACCATCACCATTTTTGGCAAATTCTATGCCTAGGAAATATTTAAGCTCTCCTAGGTCCTTGATCTTGAATGAAGATTGTAGTTCATCCTTGGTTTGTTGAATTAGTGCAAGATTATCCCCATTAATAAGTAGATCATCAAGATAGACCAAGACAATGACTATATGAGCTGTTGTCCTTCTGATGAACACAGAATAATCCAAGTGACTTTGCTGAAAACCAACATCCATTAGGGCTGAAGTTAGCTTGAGATTCCATTGCCTAGATGCTTGCTTGAGTCCATATAGGGACTTGATCAATTTACAAACTGTAGACTTGTTGTTTGAACCATGAAAACCACGAGAAATTGTCATATATACTTCTTCAGTGAGATCACCTTGTAAGAAGGCATTATAAACATCCATTTGATGGATGGACCGGTGCCTTGATGCCGCAAGAGCCAACACACTCCTAACAGTAACCATTTTCATCACAGGTGAAAATATTTCTTGATAGTCTAGTCCTTCCCTCTGATTATACACTTTTGCTACTAGACGAGCCTTGAATCTTTCTACCTCTCCTGATGCCTTATATTGATCTTATAGACCCATTTGCACCTTATAGCTTTCTGTCCTTGTGGTAAAGGGACCAACCCCCAAGTTTTGTTGTCCTCCAAAGCTTTAATTTCTGTTTGCATTGCTTCTATCCACCTTTTATTCTTGATTGCCTCTGAATATGTTGTAGGTTCCACTTCAATAGAAAAGTTGGCTAAATAGCCTTGATACATTGGAGAGATTACTTCATATCCAATAACTTCTGAAATAGGATATTTGCAGCAACTCACAGGACCCAACTTGTCAGGTTTAACATAGTCCTTAAGCCATATAGAGGGCTTAGATACTCTGGTTGACTTTCTTGTTTCCACAGCAATAGGAGCACCAGAGGAAACAATTGAAACTTTAGGAAGAGTAGTTTGAACTTCAGCATTGCTATGTGCAGTAGGATAAGTATGTCCAGTTCAGCTAAAGGAACATGAATCATAACAGATGAGCATGGACCATTAGGTATGGCATAAGAACTATCAGCAGCAAAACTAACCACAAAAATTGATTCTTTATTAAAATCCTGCCTTGGCACTGGGGATATATCCAAGAAGAGTGATTTCGATGTACTTTCAGCTGCATGAAAAGGAAACATATTTTCATAGAATACCACATCTCGACTGATAAAAAATACTCTATTCTTCAAATCCAACAGCATGTAACCCTTTTGATGTGCAGCATAGCCTAATAAAACTGACCTCATAGCTCGAGGTACAAATTTTTCATTATTTATCAGGTTAGTAGCAAAGCACAGGCACCCAATGACCTTCAGGTGTGTTAGTGAAGGCGGCTTACCAAGGAGCAGCTCATAGGGTGATTTATATCCCATAATAGAGGAAGGAATTCTGTTGATAATATAGACAGTAGTGTCAATACAATGTCCCTAATATCTGACAGGTAAATGCCCTTGAAATCTAATTGCTCGAGTAGTTTCAAGTATGTGACTATGTCTCCTTTCCACAACCCCATTCTGTTCAGGAGTATAAGGACAGGAGCTTTGATGAACATTTCCATGCGACCGAAACAAGTCTTTACAAGCACTATTGAAAAATTCACTACCATTGTCTGATCTGAAGACTTTGACCTGCTTCCCAAACTGTGTCTTAATCATAGCAATGAAATTCTTAAGCAAGAAAATAACATCAGATTTAAGCCTCATGAGAAACACCCAAGTCCACCTAGTAGAATCATCAACCAACATAAGAAAGTATCTCATTCCATTTTGAGTAGCAACTTTGTAAGGTCCCCATACATCCATATGAATCAAATCAAAACTGTATAAACTTCTGCTAGTACTAGTTGAAAATGGCACTCTAGTTTGTCGAGCTAAAGGACAAATCTCACATTTAGACAATGAACTACTATGCATGCTACTACTACAGTCTCGCAGTCTAGGAATTCTTCTGAGAACTTGAACTGGTACATGTCATGTTCTTTTGTGCCATATATCCATGCTTCCTTTATTAGTTACTGCAAAAGCTTTATTTATTGTCTTCCCTAATGCAACTAACAAAATGTATAGGCCTTCTTCCCTTTTACCAATCTCCTTTACCCTCCCAGACAAGAGGTCCTGAAACACACAACATGAGGAAAAAAGGTAACACTACACTTGAGATCTTCTGTACTTTTGAGACTGACATAAGATTGAATTTGAAAGATGGCACACATAACACATCCTTCAATACATCACCTCCTGTGAGTTGACACTCTCCCATATGAGAAATGGAGGCTGAATCTCCTGTAAGTAGTTGAACTTGCCTTGAGTTCCCTACTGAAGTTTTATTTTTCAGCAAACTGTTGTCACCAGTTATGATTAGTAGCACCAGTATCAACTATCCATTTGCATAGTTCTAAGTTTTCACATAGTTCTACATTAGCACAGAAACATTTACCTGCCATGTTGACACTTGCTTCTCCAATGGAGTTTTTGTTCAGCAATTGTAACAGTTGGTTGTATTGCTCCTTAGTGAAGAGTTGAGCAGTTTCAACACTGCTCCCTGGTTGATATGTAGCTTGTGGATTTCTCAAGTCCTGCTGTCCAGTTGTGTCAATCATCACTGCATTTGCTTTCTTCTTCTGCTTAAAGTTAAATGGATATCCAACAATCTTGTAACAATTCTCCTTCCGATGCCCTGTCTTATTACAAAACTCACATTTCATTAGCTTATAACACTCATTCTTAGTATGACCTTTCAAATGACAAAATTCACATTCTAAGTTGTAATTTCTCCTTGGTCTAGATGTGGAATGAGCAATAAAGAGAGCTGTAGGATCAGTGTGCCCTGATTGTCCGTAGGCATTACCAGCAATCATTTTCCTACTTTCATCATGAACTACCATAGCATATGCCTTATCTATAGATGGCAAGGTCGGCATCAATAGGATTTGACTCCTTGCTTGCTCAAAACTATCATTCAATCCCATCAAAAATTGCAGCAACCACTGATAGTCCAATTGATCAATGTATTTAGTAGCAGATGGAGGAGGTGGCAGTATCGAATCATACTCTGCCCAAAGGTCCTTCAGTTCGATGAAATATGTCGATACTGATGAAATCCCCTCTGTTAGAGTGAATATCTCCTTGTGCAAGTAGTACAATCTCGATCCATTCACTTTGTCAAATCTCTCCTTGAAAGCGGCACATATCTTCTGTGCATTAGAAGAAATAACACTCCTGTGACCAATTCTCTACTTACATTGCTCATAAGCCATGAAGTAATACTGGCATTGCATCGATCCCATTGACTTCCTAATTTTGCACCAAAATCTTCCTTTGATGTCGATCCATCAACTAGGCACAATTTGTTCTTCCCTACCAATGCGACCTCCATCGCACAACTCCAAAAGAGTAATATTCCATCCCTGTCAAAATCAATCCCACCGACATAGATCCAGGACCATCTGAAGGGTGTAGGTAGATAGGATGATTGTGATCTAGAGCTTCCGACTACTCCGGTTCTATATCGAGCTCCATTATTCGCGTTAATTGTTGAATTTTCAGGAATTGCCATTGAAATATGCAAAATTACGGTTTAAAACTTCTGAATATGAGTAGATCTTCTCGAATTTTTCTTCAATTGCACAAAAAATTCCCTAAAATCACTCGTTTATACTGCTCTGATACCATGATGAATTTATCAATGGCATGCAACTCAAATGGAAAGATCATAGATGAGAAATTGAGAGAGAATATTAGAGAAGAGAATAGATCTGTTCTTCGATACAATACAGAGAAGAACTAAAAACAGTGGAAAAGGAAAATGTACTGTATATAACTAATCTAACTAACTAGTGATCCGGGCTGTACAACTAACCATAGTTATTAAGTTAACTAACTTCTAATTAACTACTAACTGCACCTACATCCCTTACACTAAATCTGGGGTCAAATTGGCTCATTAAAGCAGCGACGTGGCCTATTATGATTTGCCACAACTCATAATTAAATTAACCCCCCCCCCCCAATTGTTAAACCCGCCCCACACCTGACCCCTTTCTTTTAACCTTAAACCCTTGATCCTTCGTCTTCACTACTACTGCATCACTGTTTTTCAATCCCAAAATGCATGTAAAACATATAGAGCTGGTCCTTCCTAGACCAGTACTCTATCTCATTCCCTGTCCTGTTGATTTTGTTGGTAAGGAGGGCAAATTATGAGCTAAAGGAACAGAGTGGAGATTGGAAGCATAGTGAACGGAGGAGCCGAAGTTCTATTTGTAGCCTTGTGGATTTTCCAGCCAACGAACTTGTGGAGTTCCTCAATCGCCAAGAATCTAGAAGTTGCCGGAAAGGGAAATGAAGATTGCCGGTAAAGTACCTTCAGGTATGGCCGTCGTAGTTCGATTTTTCGACAACGATTCCGGCCAAGTGGTTCTGCTATTTTCCATGTTACAATATGTTGTCAAAACTTAGTAATGAAGTGAATTTCTTGATTTTGAAAAGTACAAACCATTGTGTCTCCGTGTAATCCATTTTGTTGAACTGAGTAGATATAAGACATAGAAATTGTGACAAAATAACAGACTAAGAGGTGTTACAATAGTAGGTTTTAGTCGGCAGGTCAATATCTGACTAGTGGCATTTGTGTCCACAATCCATTATTGGTAGCCAAAATGCAATAACTGTTATAAATAGAATTTCATTTATGGTGAATGTCTATATATATAGAGATTCTAGGGTTTATTACTTGGTGGCTAAGTCACTCTCCCTATAAATAGAGGGTTCTATTCCATTGTAATACATCCCAAAATTCAATAAGAATTCCCTCTCTCTCTTTCTCTGCAATATTGCTCTTGTTCTTCTATTGTTTTATAACATGTTATCAGCACGAGACTCTAACCAATTGAGTAGAAGCTTTGGGATTGAGCATAATGATTGCCAATTGTTTCATGAACTCATTCATGATTAAACTCTGGATTTAAGGTAAGTATTTTACTTTACTTTTCTCGTTTAAATTCTTGACATTCTATAATTTGATTTTAAATACAAGCAAAGATGATAAATTTTGATTATAACTCTAGTGGAGTTTGTAAGAAATTATAACCACCTGAAGTGGTAAAATTTCTATGCCTCGCCCTGATCAAATTCATGTATGATCATCGGTAAAGAATTGAAAACCCGTCCCATTGAATTTGCTCCATTCTCATTCCCTTACGAGAATGTGATAGCAGTATGTGATAAGTCTGAAAGAAGACAAAATTATTACTATGAATGTATCAATAGATATGGACGTGGCAATAGACGAAATTATAATCGTCATCATTGTGGTAATGAGAACAATAAGGATTCTCAAAATAATCCTTCAATTTGTGAAAGTAATATTTGTCATCGATTTGATATAAGATTTCGTAAAGCACATATAGATGATTATGGTCAATTCATGATGTGAATGTGACAACATCTGATTTATGAATACATATTAATTCTTGAAAGAATATGAATGCGCTAGTGGTAGTGAATATACCACAGTCACCTCTAGAAGGAGGTTTGAGATGATATAAGAAAATAATGTCATTATTATGGCATAAATGGTCATTGGTCACATACTTATTGTACGCCAAAATATTTTGGCAAAGTGATTATTTAAAGACAACGATAATGCAAGAAACAGATCTTGCATATAATTTTGACCATAACTATAATGGTATAACTTTTTCTTTAAAAGAGATATTCACCATATGGGTGTTGATGAATATCTGGTACTACAAAATTAATTGAGAACTCTGCAACAGCCAATTATACTATTTTGGAGAAACACAATTTATTACCAATAAGGTATTGTGTTGTAGTAAGTCTCAAAGAAACTTATTGAGCTTCTAAAGTATACGTGAAAGCAGTTGATTATATTGAGACTATAAATAAAGGAAAGATTTAATATCTTCTGTTACTACAACTTGTAGCGGGGTAATATGTATGTGAAAAGTTACCCGTTTTATTCTCCAATTTGTACTACATACACAAAAGAATACCACAATGAAGTGGATATTTATTGATATAAAAACCCATATCATAATAAACTTGGAGTTTATTGATAATTGCACACGTCATGGTGTAAATATGAAGTTTATCAATATTGATAATTTAACCAGTTGGCATAATCAGTTTAGCCATATCAATTTAAGCATGACGTGCAAAAATAAAAGAGAATTCACATGGGTAAATATTAAAGAACTAGAAAGTTCTTTACGAATTCTCTTACATTGCTTGTTTTTATTAATTAATAGACCAATTAAAATTGGGATTGAATCCCATGAGTGCTGGAAATATCAAAGGTGAATATGGGACCACTCACCTGCCATGTATTCCACATAAGATGCATCTATGAGATGGTTACATGTGCGATTATTAATAACTAGCAACATGGTGTTTTGCAAGGTAACTTGCTCAATAATTTAATTTCGAGCATAATTTCCAGATTTTCTATTCAAGAGGTTCATCTTGATAAGTTGGTTTACATCACAGTTGGTTTAGCAAAATGATATTTTAAGTGCCTCTACTTAATAGCTAAACAATTGGTTATGAGAACAAAGTTATCTATATCAGTTTGATATATGTTATATACCAACGTATATTATTTTCTCCGCTCACAAGTGATTCAGGGTCAGGAACCAAATAATTCCATCTTATTATTATTGATGTGCAGTGTATATTTTGATTAACACCATAACGCACAAAGGTGGATTCTCAAAGTTGAGGAAACAAGTTAGTTTTTCTAACTTGAGGGGGAGACATGATAAACATCTGAGAAAAAGTTTCGTGGAATGAATTATCATGTGTACATCTAGATCCTCGAATAAAATAATATGAACTTGAAGTTCATAAAATGATAATTCATTTGCAATATATTGCAAAGCATGCCAGGCGCATTTGTTGACCCAAAGAAAGTAACTATATTCTCATTGCAAATGCTCCTATTAAGTCCTAGAATGACAAAGTCTATGGAACGCTTAAAGCGTATAGACAAATCGGTTTCAAATAAACTTCTTGATGAAGAAGATGAGCAAATGACCTAAATGATCATAATAAAGGAGGCAAGTGATTTAGAAGGTCACATGACATAATACTTCATAAAATCTCAGGAGAGGTTTAGGTACCTAAAATGAATGAAGAGATCTCTATGTTATGTCTTTATTAAAACTATTGAAACCGATATAAAATATTTATCGGCGACATCTATGATATCGCTAAATATATATGAGGATCTTAAGTTTGAAGAAACAATTCAAGTAGAATTGGTTTCATATGAAAGACATGTAGTTTTGGACATGTAGTTCAAACACTTGAAAGTATAAAGTCAATGGTATGTGCATTCAGTTTTCGATATCTTATATGTTTAGCATGACATGAAAACTTGATATGCAATTAAAGTCTATTATATGACTTAACTTATATGACAATCCATGAAGGATTTAAGTTGCTTGAAGCATATACAATTCTTGATCTTGAAGTACCACTTCCTCAATGCAATTTGTGCACAAATGTATCTTGCTATAACTATAGGCATGGTAATATCATAGCAAGAGTTTTCACCTCTATGTGAAGATATTGAACTGTCGTTTCTGACAAGGTCATATGAAGACAATACATCTATTAGTGATGACGATTTCAAGGTGAAACAAATTTGTTCGAGTTAATATGGCTGATTTGTTTATTAAATCTCTACCAAAGATCTTTTGAACATGGTGCATGTGATGACCCAAAAGGTCATCACTTGTTTTTAAAATGAATTCTGTATTCTGAGGCCTTAAAAACCTCTTTTATCTTCACCTCAATTTACGTGCGCAGTCTGGGCATGTAGCCGGAAAGCTGTTATGTGAAAAATCTGTGAAATATTGAAATTTTGACTTAAAATGCATTTAAGTTGATTTCGGTCAACATTTTGGGTAAACGGACCCGGACCCGTGATTTGACGGTCCTGGAGGGTCCGTAGAAAAATATGGGACTTGGGCGTATGCCTGGAATCGAATAGGTCCCAAGCCCGAGAAATGAATTTTTAAAGAAAATTGTTTTCTGAAATTTTTTAAAGGATTTGGAAATGAAATTTGATTAGAACATGTTGGTATCGGGCCCGTATTTTGGTTCCGGCGCCCGGTACAGGTCTTATATATGATTTAAGATAATTCTGTGAAGTTTGGTAAGAAACGGAATCCGTTTGACGTGATTTGAGCCTTAAATGCAAAATTGATGTTTAAGGAAGTTTTGCGAAATTTTCCTTGATCTTGAGGTTTAATTCGATGTTCATGATGTTATTTTGGTGATTTGAGTGCACGAATAAGTCCGTAGGATGTTTTTGAGGTTGTGTATATATTTGGTTTGGAGCCCCGAGGGCTCGAGTGAGTTTTGGATTGGCCATGGAGTGCATTTTGGACTTAGAAAATTGCAGAAATTTTGCTGGTGTGATCAGACCTGCAGGCTTCGCATCGCAAATGCGACTTTCGCAAATGCGAGGGCATGGTCGCAAATGCGAACCAGCCCAGGTCTGCCTTATCTCGCAAATGCGAGTGATATTTC